TGGATGCCAAACCCAGGGCTAAGCCTTAAATGCTGTTGTTCACTTGATTCTCACAGCAGATCTCTGAGCTTGGTATTGACATTCATCCCACTCTCCAGATAAGGAAACCAAGCCTTGGAAATGTAAGATAGCCTTCCCAGGTTCACCACCAGTTAGAGACAGAGCCTAGATTTGAACCCAAGCCCATCTGATGCCAGATTCAAAGCTCTTTGCCAAAATATGATGCAATGCCAGACAAAAAAGCTCACTGCATTGCAGGTCTTCCTTTGAAAGGGTCTTCCAAATTCCAGACCAAAATCACTTGAACCACCCCTGAAGAGAGCCTATGTCAGCTTCACAGCGGTTGAAATAACTCTTTGAAGCTCTTGGAAGTACTTAAAGATGTCTTTAAATAGTAAACAAAGAAAAAGTAAAAAAGTAGTAAGAGCAAATTGGTTTAGTGGAGACGAAACTGGCTTCACATCCCAGTTCTGACTCTTAGTAACTATGTAACCTCAGGACATTTGCTCTGCCTCTCTTAGCCTCAGTAAAGCATGGGTAGAAATAATTGCTTCAGAGGTAGTACTATGCTAGCACAATGCTAGAAATAAGTTACTTCCCTTAAAACTGTTCTATTGAATACATTGTTCTATGGAAAGGCAATTGATCACAACACCTTCTAAACGGAAAACAAACAAATCCTGATCACTTCCTTAGTGAGCATCCAAAGTGCTCGAAACACCTGTGATAAATGTGACACGAAACAATTTTCAAAAACTTAGGCAAATCTATGTATATGTGCATATACTAAGGGCAGTATCTCTCTGAACACATCTGGACTACTTCATATTTCCTTTCTCTCTCTCCCCACCCCCAGTTCTGTCTCTCTGTCTCTCTGTCTCTCTCTCACACACACACACACAGACACACACAAATGAAATCCTGATGTAACATTATCTCTCTCATGCTCAACATGTGCCTCACACTTGCTCAGATAATAGATATCTCTTCTCTAGCCAGTTAATTTCAACAATAAAAAAAAAAAAAAACCATGAGGATGTTATGGAGAT